TATATATTAATATAATATATATATATATATATATACTATTTTACCTACAAACATACAAACAAAAAGTCTATTTTTAAATATCACATCTCTGAAAATAATCACTTATAAAAGAACAGTGACTTTCTAGAGACACTCAATTAGTGTACAGAAATACAATCATATCCTCACAAGATGGCCTCCTTTTCCAAATACAGGAAATAAAATGCTATACTCTTAGACAAAAAAGTATATTTCAAATATGCTTATAGGTTTCTTCTTTTATTTATTATGAAAGTCAAATGAAAATATCCTTACAAAATGTTCCAGGAGATGACTGTAAACAGGGACTTTAAAAGCAAACTTTTAAGAAGAGCAATTATGTTCCCTTTCAACATAATTGCTTAATATAATTCATTTATTGAATACCTACTATGTACAAAGTACTGCGTCAAGGCTGTATGGTATAAAGCTAAGAACTCAGAGCATGCTCATGAACACACTTCAGAGACACGCTGAAAGCAGTATTTTCCCTGAAATCTACTCTAAACCAAATAAAATGTTCTCCAAATTCTGCAATAAGCTGAATAAAACTGTATACTTTCTCACATGGCCATCCCAGAAATTTGTTAGAGGCTTCACTTACCATTAGACACAATAAGGATTATAGCAGAGCTGAGGCAAACCTGGAACTAATATAATATTCTCTGGGGCCTTTTTTTTCTTTATAATGTATATTATGACATTTAACATGTTAAACCTTCATGTTGGATTAGAGGAAATATTCAATGAATTAAACATATCTATTGACAATTTGCATGGCCTAAGAGGTCAGTATACAATGGTTTTAGGAAAGGTGATTTAAAAATCTCTGAAATAGCTAATTCTTTTTCCAACTTATTCCCAAATAAGTGTAGATATCCAAAAATGTTATTTAAAGTCAAAGTTTTAGGTGTTTTCTCAAGTTTTTTAGGCTTTTAGTGATTCTGGGTGCTTTAGAGTAATTTATGTCTTTTCTTTTCCTATCACATTAAATCATTAACACATTTCTTCAGATAATACTTAAAGGCTTTACTATAACATGCACGGTATTCTAGATAAGTTCATTTTATATAACAGGATCTTTCTAATATTTTAGTTATCAAAAATTCATAGCTATTTTATCACATACTGGGGTCTACAGTGAATTGTACAATAACTCCTAAATGCACTATATTTTCTATACACTCTTACGGTAGAAAACAGAAACAAATTTTCCAATAGTATAATATACAATATGAGAACAACATTTTTAGAAAATCCTGAAAATCTTAAATCAAATATCGATTATATTGATATTTCTTTAACTATATGACCATGGGAAATAAACTTTGATATTAAATTTCAAATGATTAATTATTACATTTTGTATCACATTTATCTGAGCAGATCATGGTCTAGTACTTGGCGCGTATGACYGATGATCAACCTATCTGCACTAAATGAGATACACCATGCTTTGTGTGACTTGATTTTCTTATCTAAAATAGGGATAAGCATTTAAAAAAATTAGTTGTAGATGGATACAATATCTTTATTTTATTTATTTTTATGTGGTACTGAGTATGGAACTCAGTGCCTCTTATGTGTGAGGCAAGCAATCTGCCACTGAGCCACAATCCCAGCCCAGGGATAAGCATTTTGATCTACCTCAGAATACATTATTTTTTAAAACCGAATGAGACAAAATTATTTTCAGACAGTTAAGAAATACAGGCAAATTAATTGCCTGTTGTAGTGAATATCCTAATGCACAAAACTTTTTCAAATGTCAATACTAACCTACTTCTGTCTATGGGAGTTATTTTACAATTGTTTACTTTAATTTTTTTGAGTCTGGATTTCCTGAATCTTATTATAATTCTAATCATTAGCTTAATTTTCCAAAGAGTGGGTTACACTATTTGTTATTTTTGAAATAGCAGCAATCTCCAAAATACTTTTAAAAATGAAGAGTAATACCGTTTTAAACTGTTAGGTAATTAAAACTAAATTTGTATAAATGTTTGGAATGGGAGGTTTCAATAGTCTATTTTCTTAAATTAAAATGGATTCATTTGAGATTTAAATGCTATATTTAATTCACTAGCTTTTTCCCATTTATAAAAACATACAACAATAAGCCTAACTATGATTGATAGTTAAAATTTACTTTTTTATTTCAAAACATCCAGACTATATATGTTCAAAGTTTTCTACATGATACTACCACCAAAAATTTAGTCATGTGTTCATAGACAGAAAACACATAAACCACGTTTTAATTTATCTAATGCCTTTAAAAGGTATTCCATGTAATAATCAGTATCACTAAAATCACTCCCCATAAAATATTTGTGTGTGTGTGTATATATTAATGATACAAATCTATAGTGAAATGATGAAATAAAAAAACAAGTGTTCTTGTCAGAAGACAGGAAGAAAGTTTTTTCCCCTCCCTCAAGAAAACAAAGGATTCCTGGAAGCTTTGCCCTGATTTATTTTTCCAATTTTAAATACCTTAAGAGTAGCGGAACTGCTACTGGCATGGTAGTATTTCTAACAGTCAATAAATCTAAAATATTATGTGTGAATATTGGAATGAAGCCATTAAGAAGATTACAGCATGCAACACAGCAGAGGGTCCACAGGAAAAAAGAYCTAGTAATTCAGGACAACTGTGACCACTGACCTTTGAACAGCCAAGACCACTGGTCAATCTGACACAATAATAGAGTGCACATGCATAGAAAGTCATCTAGCCTGTAAGTATAATTTAAGTGCTTTGGTGGATGATTTTAAAACACTTTCCACCTAAATCTCAGTCAACTTATTAAACAATCAAACGATTACAAATACTAATATTCTTTAGGCTTCAAATACGTATTATTAATTTAAATTACACACAAAAATTCAGTAAAATCATTTGTGATTTTAACACATCTCATTTAAAACATTTGCCATTTAAAAAATATGTTGTGATACTTCATCATTTTTCTATGGAGCTATAAGAGACAGGTTAAACAATCACCTTAAATATTTTTAGAAAATTACTATAACTTTAAAAATATTCATATTTTCAACAAATGATCCTTGCTCTATCTCAGAAGCATTTTCATTTATGTAGCCTTCAAATTATCTGTAATTCAAGCTTCTATATAATCAATCCACCACACCTGGCAGTGTTCCTTTTTATCTATTTTAAATATTTCAGTTTTGTTTAGTTATAATGTTGTTTATGAGTAGACTACACAATGACCTATCATCTTTTATATTTAAAACTCATATTTGTACATTTTGTGAATACTACTTATCATCCCCATCTATTTAAATAAGTGTCTTAATTATCAACTAATTCTAGTACTTCTCAATTTTAAAAAAGCAGAGTTCTTCTCAAAGAATCATCTCACTAAAGCTAACAATAAAATTTTTAATATCATATACAGAAAAGCTGAATTTCTTTCTCTCTTTCTTTCTCTTTCTTTAATAAACAATCCTTCCTCAATTGAGCATTAACAGTACAAGATATATGCACACAGGAAAACATTCTTAAAAGTTGGAATTCTATTTTTTATAATTATTTCTCCATCCATTGAAGAATACTTTGATGGGATTCTAAATGAATAACTAATCATTTCTAGCAGTTTCTGCAAAAGTTTATAATGAGACAATCTAGTTATAATGAGCTGAAAAGATAATTGTTCATTGGCCTGAGTGTGGATGTGTTCAAACAGCATGAATTTTTACTAGAGTTAAGATAAAAGAGTTCAGAGTAATGTGCCTCAAGGTCAGCAAGCATTTTAGGTTATTTATAGTCATAAATAATCTGATTTGGACTTTGAAATAATATTTTTCCTATCACTATAAGAACAATCAAGGCTCATGTGGCTGTATATTTGGAATTTGGAATTTTTAAATCCTTAATAATGGATTTCAAAGCAATTGTAATTTACACAAAAATGTATTATGATTTTTAATTCCCAAATTTTAATGTCCTTGAAAAGATGCTTTGCTTTTTGAAAAAAGGGGAGTTAGTTTACCTTAGAACTAAATCACAAGATGTTTTTAACTAGCCCATTATGTAAAATATATACAGAAATACTACTCGTTTGCATTTTGCCCTATACTAAAGAATACAAAGGCCAGAAAAATGTACTTTTTGAGACTATTTAACATGAAATACAGAATATGTCCCATTATAAGCTGCAGACACAAACCCTCTGCAAGATCAAAGACCAGAAAAGAACTGGCACTTAATTTATCAGCCTTTACAGACAAAAGACAGTTTTCGTCATTTCAAAAGGATCAGATGTCTTTTATGACAAACTGCGTTTGCAGTTTAATTTACAAATAGAATTCTAAGTAAGCAGTCTTTGCTCTGCCAAAGCAAATGACAAACAGTGTAGGTTTTCATTCTTGCGGTCCTCAGCAGGATAGAAAAGATTAAAATAAAACTGAAATAATTTAGAGAAAACAAATAAATGTTTCAGAAAGTTGAGGGAGATCAAAGCCAGAATTTTCTGACCCCAACTGTACAAGCATTTCTTATTATATTGACCAGTGCCATCAGATCATTAATTAAAAGGAAAAGCGCTGGCAGGTGGCAGGGAAGCAAAAGCCGATAATTGGCCCCCTTCTTCTTCTTGCCTTCAAAAACTCTCTCATTCTTTTGCAAGACATGCCACTAGGCAGACAGAAATGCCTACTTTGTAATATAATGATTAAGATGAGATGAAGAGACTTACGTTTAAAGAAACTCTGCCTAATGAATGCATCTAGCTTTTTAATTATGATGGTACTTTTACAATAAGGAATATGATGTCCCATTCTACATCTCCTCAACTGCCAAAAGGTAAAAATGCTAAAAATAGAACTACATCAATTCCTCTCACACCACTTGCACACACTAACCCTTTTATTTAAGATAAAAAGTGAGAAAATAACTCTTAACTCAAGGGTCCAGGAGAAAACATATACATTCCCCACAAAATATCATTCAGACTTACCACATCACTTGGCAGGTTGTTCAAGTCATTAAATGGTGATTCTAGAGTATTTGTGTCAACATTTAACATAACCACATCTTCCAATGATTTGTTTTTCACTCTCTGTTTAAAAAACACATATATGAAAAAGACAAAATATTTTCTATGCAAACTATATGTTTTTTGGTGTTTTTTTAAAACACCAAAACATTATCTTAATGCAATAGGCTTGAAAATTTCAACAAAAAAAAATCCTACATTACAAAAGGATATAAACAACTTCATATTCTTAAGAAGGAAATTTGATCATAATCCATTCAAAACATTTGGTAGAAATGCTTAAAATGCAGTATTTGCTCATTCAATACTGAATTAATTTAACTACCAAAGAGATAATGCAACAAAAACCTATTATAAAATTGGAACACTTGCATCACAAAAACCTGTAGTCTTTAAAATTCATCAAATGAATATCAATCCAATAATACAGTAATTTGTACCCAGCTCCTCACCTATCTTTAGCATAAATCATACTGTAGTGACAACATAAAATAATAACTATGACCACAGTATTGATCTGCATTTTAAAATGAATAAATATTTTCTCTACATTTCCATACCAGTAGATATACCTTGATGATGAGGACTGAAAGTGGTCTAAGAGAAAGTAACAGAGAGGAGAGTAAGCTGGAACTTATAGTTAGCAATATTCCTTACATCAATTTCATGGTAAACAATGAAATTTAATAGTCTATCAGAATGACCATTTTATTTGTCTTATTTATTTAAAAGCTTTAAAATAGTCAACATACCTCAATATGTTCACAAATTATACTAAATTACAATTTTATCAAAGTTTTTGACCTAATAAAGAAAATAGTTATGGTTATTTTGTCCTATTTAAATTATCATATATACTTTTTAAAAAGCATTGATTTCTATTTGTTTGATTTAAATTATAGCAAATGGTGATAAGTGATAAGTAATGTGTTCATTAAGGAAATAAATCCATGAATTTATAATTCCATAATTTTATAGGTCAACTAGTAATAGATCAATAAATAATTTCAGTGTAATATTTTAAAAACTATCATTGCAGAATAAAAGCCATTTTTGAAATTTATTATTTAAATATCTCAAATTTTAAATTGGCTAAGTCAATTATTTTTTTTAAACTGATTATGACTGAAATTTCTCTGATCTATTTAAGAATTTCAAATCTCTGCACATTTGGTAGAATGTTAAATCTGCTAGTGAACTAACAGCCTAAAGTAGGGAATTCATGTTTTAAGAGAGGTATAATATCTACCTATGATATGAATTCTTGGGAGATACACTATTTTAAACATCCACCTTGTAAAAACACATTGTATTATAAAATAACACCTTAAAGATAGTCACTTCTAAGACACAGAGAACCATTTCTGGTGACACTAATGATATTATTTCAAAAAACATTTATAAATACACTCATTTCTTTTTCTTCCTATACACACTAAGAGAGGTTTAAATACAGAAATATGTGTTTACTTATAAATTAACTATAGAATAAATATAATAATCCATTTAATATTGTAAGCAAATATATATTATATTGGTGTACTTGTAGCAATGGTATTTGGACAAACTATGTTATAACTATAATATACATCTTCATTTTTATGTTAGCTTTATACCAGAAAATATGTAAATAATCTGGGAGCTAGAGACATATTTAAGAAGTAAAATGAGCTTTTAAAAATAGCACAGGATAGATGGGCACAGTGGCGCAAGCCTATATAATCCCAGCAGCTCAGAAGGCTGAGGCAGTAGGATCACAAGTTCAAAGCCAGCCCCAGCACTGGTGAGGCACTAAGTAACTCAGTGGGACCCTGTCTCTAGATAAAATACACAATAGGGCTGGGGATATGGCTCAGTGTTTGAGTGCCCCTGAGTTCAATCCCCAGTATCAAAAAAAAAAAAAAAAAAAAAAGCACAGGATAGTGCCAATGTGCCCCAAAATGTTTTGTGTTAACACACTAAAGTCTGAATAATTAATATGAAATATTCACTTTTTTCAAAATTACTTTTAGTTTTATAAAGTCAGATAATAGTGCCCACGGAATTTTTTTTCAAAGAATTAATCAATAAGAATAACAACATGAAGCAGGGTGTGGCAATACAGGCTACTCTCAAGGATAAGGCAGGAGGATCATGAGTTCCAGGCCAGTCTGGGCAATAGGGTCTGAGAAGACCCTATTTCAAAAAGAGAAAAACAAAGAATAGAAAAATGTATTCAGTTTTAATTAAGAAACTGAGAGGCCCTAATATTGAAATAATTTCAAGAATGAAAGAAAGAAACAAAGGAAGGAAGGAAAGAAGGAAGGAAGGAGGGAAGGAAGGAGGCAAACCAGTATTTTTGAAAGAAAATCTGGAATAGCATCAGTAATGTTAACTATTTTTTCTCTTCAAATCAAGCTTAAGCAATTTTTTTTTCTAAATAGGTATGTGAAAATCAAATGTTACCTTTTTATCTGTCTGATATTTTTATACCTTATAAAGTTATGATATATAAAAATAAGAGTGAGAAAACATGAGAAAAGAATTCCTTTTTCTTCAAAAATAAGAAAATAATAACTGGACATAGACTAAAAGGCTTATTAAGAAAACAGTAAGGTGTTAAAGTAGGTTAAGTCTTTTCATGCCCTCTATTAAACCYTTCTGCAAATGTGACTACGGATGTACATTATAGACATTAATGCAAAGAAATGACACSATGGCAGCAATCATATGACCTTATGAAACTGAACAACATGTCACTTATAGTCCTTTGTAAAATGAACCAAATAAGACAAGTCTCATATTTATAGCTTTTACTCATTTACTCTTAATCACTTTTACATGCCTTAGTCTGCTTTGAGATCATCCCTGAAGTTTAGTTTTCAGGAAGAACAAAATATGTTTTTCCTTTATTTTAGAAGCATTTTTTTTATTTTAAAAGGAGACTTTTTGCCATTCTTTACTCAATGATTACATAAAAAATAATTTAAAAATTCAAATATCATTAATATGATTTAGAATAACTATGGAAGTTTTTATAAACTGATAATATATGTGGAAACTGTCCTGAACAAGAAAGAGGAAAAAGACTATTTTGACTCTTGAAAAATTTCATTGTCATTGCTAAAAAAAATGCAAAAACTTACTTATCTCAGTCTAACATATAAACTATGTAAGTAGTTACATCCACATTTTAATTATAAATTACTTATTATAAAATAAATAAGCACAAAATAAATTTTAGTTGAAAAGTCCAATAATGAAATAGTAAGAATAAAATTGCAATACATAATATCATTGTGTAATACATTAAGAAGAAAGTTACTAAATAACACCCAACTGTTTTAAAAGAATTCTTGAAGGCCCAAGTATATTTTTTCATTCACTATTAAACCAGATAAACCAAATATAGCTGACCATCAGACACTTGAATAAACCCAGTGAATAAAAATTATAGAGATTTCAACTAACCTAACTGTGGCTCTAAATATTCTTGTTTAATAACAAAAGCTTATTTAAAGTTAGAATGCACTTTTTTTAAAGATAATAATTTCAAAACATGAAAAATTTTTAAGTTTGCTCCTTAAAAAATATTTTCTTTACATATGGCCAATAAATATATGATAAATGAAACTGAACACTTAAAACATGTATAATTTCTATATTAATTTTGGAAAGCCAATTTTAAAAATTGATATAGAATATTATATAAAAAATAATCCATCAATAGGTAGTGTCAACAACTTTAAATATTTTGCATCTGTATAAATATTCAGAAAAATTATCATCTTACATTCATTAAATACAGAAAGTCACTAATGTGAAAATGCATAATAATATGCACAATAATATGAAAGTCAAATTTGATGATTTCCTTAGGAAAAAAAAAATCTAACCATGTTTAGATTCGTTATCAAGTCAAGCTACTGGTCAGGGCTTGGGATGCAGTTCAGTGGTAGAGAACTTGCTTACCATGTGTAAAGCCCTGGGTTCAATCCCTAGCACTTCAAAAACAAAAACAAACAAAAAACTGATCAGTAAAATAATAGTGAGGTGCTGAGGCTGTGGCTCAATGGTAGAGCACTTGCCTGGCATGTGTGAGACACTGAGTTCGATTCTCAGCACCACATACAAATAAATGGATAAAACAAATGTCCATACATCTAAAAAAATATTTTAAAAAATGCTACGAAATATTCCATGATCTAATACCAGACAGACTGAATACCTAAATTCATCTATTCTACATTTCATATACTTTGTTTTTTCACTGAAAATTCCTGAGCTTATARAAAAACTTTTATAAAAATGAATAAAATATAAGAAATCATAAAGTTATCCAACCCGAATTTCAATATAAAAAACAATTCAAGCCTATTAAAAATTCATTAAGATTTACTTTCTATTAATGATGAAGCAAATAAAAAATACTGCCTACTATTTTGCAAAAAAAAAAAAAAAATGCCCCAAACTAGAGCTCAGGTGTAATTCTATAATCCAGGCCTTTTGCTGGAACATGACTCTCTCATATGATCCTTGAGAATTTTAAAATACATCAAAAGAATCTTCTTTGATCAAAGGGAAGGACTGATGTATATAGTAACAGCAACTAAGAAAACCACATTTAACTCGTTATTTTGTTAATTAGAAATTAGGTTAAATTGTTAATCTGTACAATCAGCCAAAAGAGAAAAGTATTCAAAGAAAACTGAAATCACCCATCATAATGTTTCCACTCAATTGACTCAAATTTTCTGCTTTCATACAAAGCTTTGTTTATTTTTTCACAGGCTAATCTTCCAAAAAGTCTACTCTGGAAATATCACTGATTCAGATTCAAGAACTTTGAAGTTTAAGTAGTTTCACTACAAGGATAGCTTAAGTTAAAAAAAAAAATCATTTTGGAATGATCTGATGACAGCTAAAAAAAATCCCAAATTTTCATCCTCCAACAGGACTGAAAATTAAAATATAAAAAGAAGATATATTCTAATTTCAAAGTTTGTCATTAGCATATTAAAACCACATAGAAATAAACTAAAAAAAATGAAGTTTTCAAAATAAAAAAATTTCATTTTCTGAGCCATAAGTACGTAAATTTTAATTTTCAAAATATAGTTCCGAGAAAAAGATATAAAAGATATCAAGTTACCATCAAGAAAAGTAGTTCCTTAATGATTAAAGATTTTAGTATTCAAAACTTACCATATGACTTCTATAAAACATAACCTATTTTCATGGGTTTCATGMCACTAAAAATGCTCATTTAGTACACTAATCTAAATGAAATTATTTCAATGCTAACTTTTTTAAATGATCATTTAATTAGCTCCTAAATATGAAGTTAGTCACTGCCTGGTATTATTCATTTGATATTCTTTCAAACAAAACTGTTTTAAGTATTATTTTTAATAAGTAAATTTTATCACTATCTCGTTTCTAAAAGATACTCACCTCTATGAGGCTGGAGTGTATTCCAATCAGGTATGGCATTGGGGCACTAAATTAAAAAAAAAAAAAAAAATATATATATATATATATATATATATAGTTTGTTAAAACTGAAACAATAATAAGTATTTCAAGTGCTTAAAAAATTAAATTTACTAAATGTTCAGTTCCAGAACAGCACATTCTACATTCAAAATTATTCAATATATAAAACTCAAATTTAATCCTAGAGGTCATTAACATTTAAATTAAGGTTGGCTTATCTAAAAATCACAAAATCATTTGTAATTAAATTAAGAGTTATAATACCTAAAAAGCATTTTTTTATTTAAGACTCTCAGGGTCTAGGCCACAGTCTGAGTTGAATCTTTTCCATATACCTCACAGCAAATAGATCCTAAATAATCATCAAATTTATTACATTTTTGCACATATTTTCTCATTCTTATTTCTGTGATTTTCTTAATATGTCTTCATTATTTCATACCTACTATGTCTCCAAATATTTAGTCAGTCAGTCAGTCAGTTACATAGTCAGAGTCATCAAATATTTACTGAGACTTAATGTGTGCCAGGCAGTATTCTGGAAGTAGAGTTGCAAAAAATAAACAAGTTCCTCCCATAATGTGCTTTCTCTTCCCTCATGTATATCACCTTTAATTTAAGTTTTATAAATTCAGATTTATTCCACTTTCAGTGTAATGAATAAAATAATTTTAATAAATTAAAAATACTCAAATACAACAAGGATTTTGTATTAATTAATTAATTCAATGCCTGATATTGGAGGTGCCAGGCTCTGAGGTAGGGGCTTGGGAATAATAATAAACAATATGACTGAAATGTGTTTCCTTGTGAATCTTGTACCCTAGCAGAAATGCAAACATTAAAGAACTTTTAATATACAAAATCTATGCTACTAGTAATTTTAGAAATATTTTTTAGGAAATACAAGAAGAAAATTATTCAACTTGACATTTCAAACAAAATTATTATCTAACAGGAAAACATAAGAATGTACAGATGTCTACAAAAGTAATAGAAGATATGTGAACAAATAGCTATATAAAAATAAAACATTTTGGCAATTCTTTTATGGGCATCTTTGTGCTTTATTAATGCAAACCTTTTCTATTAAGGCAAACAGATAATCCTCTTTCTCAAAGGATTTGCATAATTTTCTAACCATCACTGCCATTATTAAAACAGTGCTGTCCAAACTCTGTGTTCACTTTTCTACTGAGAACTAATAATAGATAAAAATAACAGGCCCCTTGACAGATTCAGGTATTTCAAAGTAATCTCAGAAAGTTTCAAGTTCATTTAAGGATGGATAAACAGTAACCTATACTTCCAGAATTCTCACACACACACACACACACACACACACACACACACACACACACACAATGGATGAAGTTCTTTGCTTCTCAGTAGCCTGTACGTTCTAGTTCATTACTTATTATTGTACTACATTCTAATTCCCAGTTGTCTTTGCCTTTTGTGGCTTTGTTCCTTCCTATTCTTATTTAATTTTTATGCAACAGACCCATCTGGAATTGATCTGATATTCTGGATACTTCATTTGACTGAAAGTTGAGAACTATTTATAGGTCTCGATATCCTTAAGACCCAATAGATTTTCTTCCGTAAAAAGGAAAAAGGAGGAACAAATGTGGACTGTTCCACTTTTACTTAAATAAGGGAAGGCCAGTTACTCCCTAGTTCATGTTTTCATCCCTTGGACTCTACAGATAACAAACAAAGTATAGATCACTATTCTGGGCCCCCAGAATCAGGCTTGGGCCACTGTCACTAAATAAGGTAGGTAACTCTCAAGATTTTAAATGTTAAGCCCTCCAAACATCCAAAATAGTATAAAATTATTAGTTACCACAAAACCTTCCAATTCACCCCCAGTTAGGATATCCTAACCACAAGATGTATAATACAGAAAGTCTATGGTATCTTAAATTCCAAAACATATTTTAATAGAAGAGTGCTTGCCAAAATATTCTAGGCTTTTAAACATAGTATGTTGAAGGGATACTGGATGGACCACAGTTTTATTAAATGAGAGTTCAAACTGCTAAGTAATCTACTAAAATTCTAGGAAATACATCTAGAAAAATACTTGTTAAAGATTATGAAGGCTACTTATCTTTTGAGATATAAATAATAAGTTTATATAAATTGTAAAGATAGAATTAAAAATTCAGTAAAAAGCATCTGTGCAGAGTAATAAATAATAAAATAATAAAGTAACTCAAAACTTTTTATAATAATAATAAAGTAATTCAAAATTTGTTTATAAGATAGCTAAGTAAGTATCCACAAGTTTTTTCCTCACTAATTTTAAATAAAATAGAGCTATTTGAGGCACAAGCATTATTAATCTACAACACAGATTTTCTAAAGTAATTATGATATTTTTCAGAATATGGGATTAATTGAATAGGTGTTTCCTTCCCACATTTTCATAGTGGATTGTGTATCTCCTAATATAAAACAAGCCAAGTCTCATGGAAAGAAATTTTGCAAACCCTAGCTGAAATTTCCTAGTTAAATTAGGGTGTTAATAAGTCAGGAAGAGATCCTTGGCAACACAGATGTTAACATCCATGTGCAAAACTGTCCTAGATCTTTCCATCAGTGAAGTTATTTTGAAAAGACAGAATATAGAAGGCTCTATTATGAATGCTGTTTCTTTTTGGTAAAAACTAACCTTCACTCAAAATATTGCCTTTCTTTTCTTTTTAGGTTTTCTTAACAAACAGACTACCTGTAACTATAACAGCAATCTATTGGGGGTAGTATTAAGATTGTAATCTTCCATTTAAAAAAAAAAGTGTTCCCTTAGAAGCTAAATTGATCATTTCATAGCAGAATCAGATAGATGAGCTAAATGAAAAGACTGACTAACCATTCCCTGACCAAACAACAATTTACTTTTACTACTCGTAGATCACAACACCTCTTAAGCATTTATGAACTCAGATAGTTTATCAGTGTCATAAACTTGCCACATTAAAATACTCTTATTTTGGCTGTTTAAGGGAAAAATACAGATTGTATAACTTTCTTCTGAGGATCATCCCTAACCTTCCAAGAAGGTGGGCTGTTTCTTCGATTTTCATGCATGGTTCTTTTGTATGTCTCCACAATAGGACTTACAATATCTGAGCTTTATGTGTGTATGTGTGTGCACATATAAGTTTATGTCAGTATATATGTATGTCTTCCTATCTGTGAAGCTCCCAAGGGCAAAAACTTAATCTTATTCATCACATTACATACACACATCTTGGCAAATAGTTGCTCACTAGATGTTTGATGAACAAATATATGGATGAATGAACAGACCAACAAAGTAGTTAGGCTTTATCAATAAACCAAGATGCGATATTCACCCATGGTCACAAGATGGCATTATGGTTCTCCACAACCTGTTCTATGCCAGAGCTTTCAGATACAAAAACAGAAATACTTTGAGGAGCTAGAATTACTTCAGGATTTGGAAAGCTCTTATCACTCTAAAGAGTTAACAATAATACATCTACTCCTATCAAACCTTCATGGTGTTATTTTGAACTGGAATATTAAAATCATTTATTCAAAGAGATTGAAGGGATAATATGAAATATTTCCCCTTGTGCAGGTAGATTAATATGATTTTAACTTGAAGGATTCAAAGGGAAGAAAAACCATTTTTCTTAGAAAGTTGTTTAGTCCACCAAATTTTCTAATAATGGAAGAGAGCCAGAATCTCAAATGGCTATTTCTAGAAAAAAAAAATCATAGTTCTTAGTTCCTACAGTAGAAATTAACCTATCACTGTGTCTGTAAAGTTCAGAAAGTTTCAGATAAACTCCTTGCTTGGGTATCACTGCTCTGTTATAAAAGCTGTTAGAACCTGTCCTAACAGCTACTTCAGAGATTAGAAAGAAAATTCCAGGGTTGAAATAGAGAACAAGCTTCTTTCATTATAATGGAAGCAGCAAAAAAAAAAAAAAAAAAAAAAAAAGGATTTGATGTCAGGGATGGAAAGTATCAGAAAGGTAGCTTTGGAAAGAATTAGTAAAAATTTCCCTGAGTCATTGAACAGTTTCTAAATAACATTAAATGTGTAATTCATTATAGAGAAATGAGCTTAGAGGTGTGTTACCTCTAAGAGGTCAGATTATTTTAATAGAAAAAATTAAGATGACATGAGCATTATAACCCGATAAAATATAATTCTAAACTTCATAATTAGAAGTGTTAGTTCTTGAAACACTCAATTGACCTATATTTTTAAACTGTTCATCAATACAGTAAATTTTAATTACAGAACACCGTGTGCAAAGAACTATTGCATATGTTGACATGAATGAACTCCAATCTCTGCCCTTCAAGGATGGTTAAGATATTGTAGGTGTGCTGGTCAAAAGAAAACTCTAAAATACATGTCATAAGAGACTATTTATAGGTTTAGCTTTACACTTAATCTTGTGAGTATGATACTTCACAATATAATTAATTGCATTCCTATAATCTGCGAAACATTTMTCCAAGGGCAGAAGAGCAGTGGTAGGTCACTGGTACCTACTTCACAGCATTATCAATACTACTACCATGCTGTGGAAACCAATAGAGCAGTATAATCAAAATATGTGTCCAAGTACATATACTGTTATTATCATCACTTATTATAWGCAGATTAGTCACAAAAACTTAATTTAAAAACTTTAATGTATGAACTTATATAATTTTAATCCTTAAGTACTTTAATTTGTCCTTCAAGAAATAAAAAGCTAAATAAATGTTATTTTTAAAGGAACTTATTTTTACTAATATTAGTTAGGATTTAAACAAACACATTAAAGCTGAAATGATTTCCTCCTGTGCATGTATGTGTATGATTTAAAGGGGAAAAAATCCCATCAAATTTCTTACAAATTAAGGTATGCCTCCAGAAAATGATTATGCAGTAAAGATAACATACCCCAGTCCTAAAGAAGGTCCCAAAGCTGCTTTTTAGTAGTCTGCTCCCTGCTATCCTCACTCTAAGTATGTGGACTCTTCTAGGGAGGAGAACAAGGGGGTCATTGGTCATTGTTCTCATAATTTCTAGAGGCCTGAATGAATTCAGACTGGTGAAATCACTGGGAGTTGTTTCTAAGGCAAGCAAACCTTTTATTATTACTCCCAACACTGTTTATTCTTTTTCTTTTTATAGCAGCTTTAGGCTGAAATTTTGACTTAAACCAATATTATATTTTAATGTAATTCTTATATTAAAAGCAACCCTTTTGTCAGTACAAGGTATTCAGTGTGCTATTGGGGAAAGCAGAGGTAAAAGAAAGTGTATCCTGGGGTAAAGGAAACAAAAGTGTGCCCTGACAGAGACAATGTAGTAACTGGCAGACTTTCCAGACAAGTTCTGACACCTGGAACACTGGGTTTTCTAATTAATACCATACTTCTGTCCAATTTTCCCAGCCACAAACAAAAATTTTGTTTCTATTTATGTACTGAATTATCTAAATGACTGCAGAATAAATTCACAAAATTTAAAGAGCTTTGTTTGCCAAGGGCAAATTTTCTGTGGAAAGAACTACTCTGGCCTCCATAAAAGTACTCTTTAGTATGTATTACTAACGCAAAAGTCAAGTTCCTGTGATTTTTTTATTCACATATACAGGAGGTTTACCTAATCTACAAATAAGCGGATCTGTTTTCTAATCATGAAACCTGGATTTAAAGCCGTCTGGCAAAAGCCAGCTTACCAGCAGTAGTCCAGCAGGTGTGGAGGAAGCACTGGGATGTATATATGTTGCCAATACATTGGGTAGAGCAGAGCAGCCGATCCATGGAGACAGGCAGTTAACTAAAATTTACAAAAGGACAACAATAATAAGTAGCCGCTGACCCTCCAAACAAAAAGCCATGTCCAAGGTATCAAAGATGAATGATAATCATAGAAAAATTTACACAATGACATAACTCACAATGCCTCTACCAGTTATATAAATAAAGTCTTTTATGTCTCAGGGACTCCTGTAAAAAAAATATATAAAAAGCAAGAGTAGTTTCATGGGAATCATATGTAGATAGTTATAACCACATAAAAATATACTTTGGGGTTAAAATTTAGAACATAAATAAAGTTAAAACTGAAAAATCAGGTAAGCATCTCAGAATATATTGTAGGAAATTACGATTTGTGCAGCACAGTTTGCGCATCACTCAGATTAATACAGCACGATTAAATATGGAAAGAAGAGAGGCTGAAAGCTCCTGAGGGATATCATTAGGGCAAATTGCCAAAGAATGAAACATGAGCCAGTCAGGAGAGTCTGGAAGCTGCAATAATACCAGGGGACTTGAACGTTCGACAGTTGGAGCTTCAGTAATGTGTGAACTGTGGGTTATGGTATCAAGAGACTCTGTTCACTGACACATAGAATGTCACTATTGACCAGCAAACTGCCCAAGCTTGACAGCTGTACTACAGGAAGCCAAGTATATCATAATTTCATATTTAAACTGTTCATTCTAGATTAACATTTTGTTTCCTAGCTTTATATCACAGCAGCTGCAATTACATTGTTGCTATTTTAAAGGTAATTGCCATTTTAATTGTTTTGTTTTGGCAAGCAGTTAATTAAACATTTTTAATGCTTAACAAAGAGATATCATTTTTTTCTCCTCTTTACTGACCCTCATAAGAATTCTTTCCATTTGACTTTGTTTCATTTTAATTATGTTTCTATAGAGGTAAAGTATATTTTTACTGTCTAGTAATTAAATCAGCATTCTTCTTTTGTCATTTTAAAGTTTTTCTGTAGCCTATAGTTCAAGGTTACTAATAAAATAATTTTGGTGAAACTGAGAATCAAAATTTTCAAAAAACTATCTGAAAATGGACCACAGACTTTCTATAAACCATTTTCTCTATTTCATTGTTATGCAAAGAAATTAAAACATATACATGAGAATTACAATTACCTTAAAGAATAAATGTAACCAAAGCAATCCAAATCATATTGGAAGCTAATTTGTTTATCTTTAAGTGAAAAATTTAAAAAAAACAATTTAAATAATGTCATTCAAACCAAAAACATGAAAAAATTTCATTGAAATGTACTTATCTTTGTCATATGTGTGATATTTTTCCAGATTTTTGGTTAATTTTGTACAACAGATAATGTATCTGATTCCACATCATACTTTCATTAAAGGGTTTTAATGCCTTGAATTTGCTATCTTTATTAATTTATGAGTATTCTTTCAATTAATAATATTTTTTTWAAAATGTAATCAGAACATATCAGATTCCACTAGGAGGCATTCAAATACTTCTCTTTAACAATTATAGATCATGGATTTATTTATGTTACAAAATTGAACTAGAAGGAAATRAAAACGGGGTTGCTCTAACTCATTGTGTCAAATTCTCCTAGAGCTTTTAGGTACTTCCTGGTTGTAAATTAGGCATCTTTAAAGCTGTCCTAACTCTCTCCATCCCTTTGGCATAACCTGATGGGTCAGGAAAGTTTAGGTAGCTTTGAAAGTCAGCTAATTACTCAATTTCTCCATCTGCACACAGATGACTTTCAAAACAGCTCATTTTAAATCTTAAAAAAAAGGAGGGGTGCTATTCCTTTTGATTTTTGAGAAAATAGTAATAGTGAAGCAGGAGGAAAAACAAATTCTCAAAATAATCTATAATRAGGCTGACTTATTTCACTGGCCACACCCGAAGTTCAGAATACCCTTCTAAATGCTACACAGAATACTTCCTCTATCCGTCAATGGTCACCCTTAAATGAAGTTATTCATTATTCACYAACAAGGCACAATTGAATCTGACTGGAATTTTTTAAGAGGTAGTTTCAGTGATCATAAGTAGAGTCAAAAAATTTCTGTCATGTCCAATATCTTGCAGGGGGTCATCCCTGATAATCAAGATCTATCAGGAGAGATCAGGAGAAAATAAAGCTTCACAGGACTTGACRACTTTCTAGATATGGAAAATAAATGGCAAGGAGAGGTAGGAATATACAACAACCTCTCCCCAGCCCCAGTGTTTAGCCTAAGCAATRAGAATGAATTATTAAGACTAATATAACAAAAATGCCAGGCTTAGGTTGAATCATAAAGAACTTGAGTTTGCAAGTTCTGTTGACCAGGAGACATCTAAGTAGATATTTGCAAAGTAGAAGCATATCAAAGGATTGGGATGTGGCTCACTGGTAGAGCAGTTGCCTCACCTGTGTAAGGCCCTAGGTTCACCCCCAACACCAGCCAAAAAGAAAAAAAAATCCCCTATATGCCTCCAATTGCATGCAAGAACAACATCATTTTAACAACTACTTTGTAGAAAGCATAACAAAGTTGTAAGTAAATTATAAGAAAGTAAAAATAAATTTACTAGGAAATCAAACACATTAATATATGTTATATAAAATTATAATYGAGTATACGAGCCAGGCTTGGTGGCACATGCCTGTAATCCCAGCAGTTTGGGAGGCTGAGACAAGAGGATCAACTTCAAGTTCAAAGCCAGCCTTAGCAACTTAGCAAGCAACTCATTGAGACTCTACCTCTAAAAACAACATAAAAAAGGATTGGAAATGTGGCTCAGTAGTTAAATGTGYCATGGGTTCAATTCCCGGTACAAAAAAAAGTGTATGACAGAAAAAAATTAGGGCTCTGACATTAATAAGCTGTGTGGCCTCTGGCACATCTAACATAATAAGTTGTGAATTTCTTAATCTTTAAAATAAGAATTTATGCTAGATGATATGCAAGCATTGCCTTTCACAAGTCAAACATTCTTTAAATAAGATAAATTCAATTCTTACTTTTTTTAGATACTTAGTAATACATATTTCCCCATTAAGTGGTTAACAGCATATTTTAACTATAATTCAGATCTACCTTTAAAATACATCTAAAGATTACTTCTCAGTGCTTGACAGTGCATTAGGTTAACTATGCAATTGGAAATATATTAATTCATTTGCTCAGTTCAACAAAAATTTTAAGGGCCTGCTTTGTGTTTTCATAAATCCTTCCTAGGTAAAAGGAACACAATATTGAACAAAACAAAGTYGCTGTTTGTATGTGTTATGAAGAATGCAAATAATAAACAAGCAAAACATACATTGTAGATTGAGCATACCTATTCCAAAAATCCAAAATCTGTAATTCCCCCACATCCAAAAAGTTTTGAATGTTAACACGACACCACAAATGGAAAATCCCTTAACTGATCTCATGTGATGGACTGCAGTCAAATATAGATGCACTAAAATATTGCATAAAACAACCTCTAGGCTATGTAAAAAGGGTATAGATGACATATGAATGAACTTTGTATTTAGACATATGACTAAAGATTTAAGGGGAAAAAATCTTAGCTTGAAGTAGCATACGAATATTTTAAAACACATTCACTTTCATAAAGTATACTCAAAATATTGAATTGATATTGTCCCAAAGGACTGATTAATGGAAAATGAAAACATTGAGATCTAAATTTCTTATAGATTCCAATTATAAAATAAGTATTTATGAGAACCATGTGATAACAAGACATATTCCATGCTTTCATAATTATCAAAATAGATTTTACCATCATGTATAACTAAAAAGAACCAATGGGGAAAAAAAGATTCAAAACCTGGGGCCTATAAAATCTTCAGATTAAGAAACTTGAAAACTAAGGTCAGCAATAGTGAATTTAGTTATGGAATAAAATGCACTTACAAATTTCAATCCTAGGCCACTTGGTTTAATAGCAGACTGACATTCATAATGACTGAAAATATTAATAATAATTTCAAATATTTATATATTGTTTACCTTATGCCAGGCCATATTTTGACTCTTTGAAGTATACAGATCTAATCCTCACAAAAATCTAATGAAATAAGTACAACTATCTTTAATCCCATCTTACAGATCAGGACATGGACGCAAAGTTAAAACAACTGCCTGAGATCATATATCCTGTAAGGAGTAAAGTACAATTAAGTTTGAAACCAAAGTTCTCCTCTTTTGTAATATTCTGTTGTGATCTGTTCCTTTTTCTTGAAGTTAAACTCCACATATTAGAGTCAATTAGCCTAATAACAAAAAACTAAGCAGTGTTTTAAACATTAAGTAGGCATGTGCTTTGTGGAGGCAAAAAACACTTTCATCAGATTCCCAGGGAGACAGCAGAAAAATGACTCATCAAATTTAATGACCACAATGGAAAATATAAAAATTCCTAACTGACACACTTTAGAGGGAAAAATTTYATATTTACACATTGCCAGTCCCATTATTCTAGTCTCTGTATCACCTGGCCAGATTGTACCTTATTCTTAGGTAGAAATCCTACTCATTGCAACTAGAATTCTATGTGAGTTACTGAGAGGTAGATTTATATTGCCCCAAAATGTATTTATGCATGAAAGAAGAAATACATATGTTAGAGATGTCATCTGACTTTTAACTGAAGCAATAGTTCATTCATAACTTTAAGCACTATAAATAACTGCAARTATACAGATTAAACTGCTAGAAATAGTAATGTGATAAATTCTGCCTGGAATGAAAAGAAAAATACTAGAAACCATAAAGAAGGCATCTGTTGAAACACATTTAATTTATATTCACATTTTAAAGTTTAGGCCAAAAAAAAAGTGTCAGTTCGATATCTGAAAACTACAATGTTATCCCAATTGCAAAGTATTCTCACTTGAACAAAACTTTAATATTCAAATTAAGTGATATTTATATTAAAGAAACAGCAACTTTAACAGTGAAAAACGTCAGTATTTGGTTGTGAATTTTTTAAATTTTATTTTATAGCTGTTTCAGGTTCAAAGAAAA